ATTAGTGACATGGAGGAAAGTGATGATGACCCCTAGTGGCTACTATCATCTGTGACTGACTAATTTTATGGAAGCTACTGGCTCCATTGCTATACTTGATAGCTTTTCCGAAGGTGAATTATTTCATCTATTTATAAACAACAAAATAACTTTATTTTTGTCAATGAGACAAATATGCTAGTCAGGTGAAAGAAAGACCAAAAAAATGCTGTTGTCTCCTCTGTATGTAAGCACAAGGAAGCACATCATTCTTTTGACTAAATGAAAGCCACCTTAGCCATTTTGCTTCTTATTTCAACCCCAGAACTCCACAAGGAGTAATAAGTTAAAGTATGTTAATGTATTTGTTTTTTATTTTGTGTTTCAATTTTTGCTTTCAACATGCATGCAAAATGTAATGCATTACACCCAAATTATATATATATATATATATATATATATATATATATATATATATATATATATATATATATATATACACACACTTGTATTCTTATTTGCTCTTAGCCCCGTAGCTATCCATTGTGGCACTATCCTATACAAAGGAAAGTTATATAGTTATATGAGCTCCATAATCATCTTTGTCATCCTGGTATAACTAGGTTAGCCCACTCTGTCAAACTCAGGAAGTGGAGGAACCTGAGTCTGATATCCATTCTAAATCATTGAGTAACATTGAAATACATTTGACGGTGCCCTCTGACTTTGAGGATCAACATTCTACACTGATTGCTGAAGATTCAGTGATGCTAAGACAATCTTTGAGGAATCAATGAAAACTCTTACAATATCAAGAACATTAAAAAGAAAAGGAAAAGGGGGGGGAGAATATCATAAGCATTAACTTCCCTCAATTTTGGAATCTTCCAGAATTATCCACCTTTTGTACTAATATATACACACACACACACACACACACACACACACTTGTGTTCTTATTTGCTCCTATCCCCTATTGTGGGCCAATCTGTTTATTAAAGACTTTGTCAGGGTACTTTAGTTTTGTTCCTTATTGGACTTACCCAACAGGAAAGCTCTAATCAATTTAGAATGCTCTCACTTGATTGCCAGCAAGATGTACCATCTGTGGATATAGATGAGGTGATGATCAGTAATTGAATGTTGTAGAGTTGTGACCATCAGTCTTGGTGCTGATTCTGGAAAATTTGCTGAAGTTGATGTTCTGGTGGTGCACCAAAAGTTATTGGGTTTTGATCTGTCAACTGGAATTAATGCAATGAAAGCACTGAGTGGCATTTCTCTTATACACTTAGGTACAGTCTAGTTTCTGCATAAATAGTCACTTGTATATGAAGTGATTCAAAGAAATTAACCAGATTTCAAAGCAGATATTGAGTGATTTGAAGAACATGGTGACTGCAACATGGGAATTCTCAAAAGATCAGTTGCCAGATGAGCAGATTAGAAATAATCAGAATTGCCAACCAAATCTGGAAGACTTGTAGGCATGAGCTACAAAATTCGATATGCAATGATTAATTCCATTTTGCTTGTTTTTTTAGTTGGGATTAACATTAAAATGATTTTAGTCTTTTTTGCTTTCTGGAAGTCTTCAGTGGAGGGTGAGGCTGGGTTAGATTTCTATGAATTTTTTGTTTTCTTAATTCATTGGTCATCTTTAATTTCTTGTTGCTCATAACCTTAGAGGATTATCACTTTTCTACAATTTCTAATTCTTTCTGAAGTCTTGACTGGCTAAATTCATTATCAACAGTTTGGGGTTTAAATTCCTTCATTTTTATAATTTATATTTCATATACAAGAATGCCTTGGAGTTTTTCTTCAAAAGATAACCTCATTAAAATTTTTAAGAGGTCAATATCTAAGAAACCCTTTTTTTTTTTTTTTTTTTCAAGAAAATATATTTAAAAGAAAATGAAAACTATAAAGTTTAAGGGTTTTCTTAATTTCTATAATTGAAATCATGAAAGTGAAATGATATTGTTTTAATATAACTTTAAAAATAAAAAAATTTTCTTTGCTTATCTTTTCTGTTTTTTCTGAAATAATTGTTATCCAGAAGAATAACAATGTCCAGGTGGGGGGTGGCTATCAGGCAGATAGGTTAACTAGGCTGTCAGCTCACTGTTGGATAGTCAAGTTTAAAATTTTTAATTTAATCTGATATGACAATTTAAATTGGTGGGGGTAATCTAAAGCATCTCTTCCTTACCACACTTTTTTTTCTTTTTCTCCTCCTCCTCCTTTTTTTTTTTTTTTTTTTTTTTTTTTCCAAAAAAATAAGTTGTCAAATTGTATTCATGTGCTGGAAGCTTTTTAAGGTGCCACTCATATAATTTTTTTTTTTTTTTTTTTTTTTTTCTGTTTTTGATTTGCCCAAATATACTTGAGTGTCAGATTATATAAAAAACAAAAAAACCTTGCCATTGGAAATTTCTCACAGGTTTAGTGGTGTAATGACTAGCTGCTCAGAATGAGGAATCTGAGAGCCAATTTCAAATTCCAGTTGGGTTATATTCTCTTTTGCACCTTTGAGAAAGGTATGAATCCATCTCCTCCACTCCAACTGTGGAGTAAATAGTCTGATTTGTATCTAGAAAAATAATTATTTCTTAAAAAGAAAATTAATACAATATTCACTCACAAAAAAGGGGGTATTATAGTCAAATGTTTCAGCTTTAAATAACGGACAAAATTTATTTCTCTTATTAAAAAAAAAAATGGCTAAAGACTCAAATTTGTTTGTTCATTCTTGTTCACTGCTGGCTTCAATGCTTGCCTCAAGGTTTGCAAAGAAATGTGCTTAGCTGGAAGACTGCATTTCTATCAGAACTGAAGATGACAGATCTTTTAAAAAAGAAGCCAAAATATCTTTTTCTGAGAATTTCTTCATCTTTTGAAATTAAATCTTAACTCCAAATATTTGCTACATTCTGAGTGAAATCAAAACTTTTCATATCCCAATTTGAAATCTCCTTTGTTATTTTTGTTTACCTTCAAATATTCAAGATGTCCAAATTAAAGAAACTCTTCTCCTCCATCCTTTGTTTTGTATTTCTTTTGTGTGTACGTATTTTGTCCTACATTCACCAAAATACCCCTCCATGTCAACCCCCCCCCTAACCCTGCCTTGAAGCCTTCTTCCATTTTTCTTTCTTTTTAAAATTAACTGCAAGTAAATTACATGTAATCATTCGTTGAGTAATTTTATGTTGACAACATTTCCTTTTATTTCACTTATTTATACTGCAATATGAAAACAATACATTTTGACTTGTTTTCATTAAATTTAAGATTCCGTAATATTCTTGAGATTACTTTATCTGAAGACTTGAATTCAAAATCTTTGTTCATTCTTCAATAACATAAATTTTTGTTGTCTGTTTTGTCATCCAACAAAGGTGAAATGAAATCTGGTTCAATTAAAATAAAGAATTACAACAAACTGGCATTCCTCACGTGTTTTATTTCTGATAGTTGTCTCTTAACAGAAAATATTGACTTTTTATGAAATTGAAGAATGACCAATGTTTTTGTTTCTAACTCCGAGCAATTGAAAAGGAATTTCAACCCTTTTTTTTTTTTTTTTTTTTTTTAAATTTCTTTTTAAAAAAAATGATGTCTATTCATCTACATCTTTTTCATCAGAATTAAAACTCTGATTTACAAAAATAAATGGTCCACTAAATAAAAAAATAAAAAAATAATTTTTGTAGATTATTATTTCTTAAGCCACAATATAATTGAAAAATATTGAGTCTGATTTTTGTACATAGTAAAGCTAAGTCAGAAAACACTGTTTAAAAAAAAAAAAAAATCAATGGTTAATTTTACACTATTATGAAACGACTCCTTCACACCTTGCAAATTGATTTAAAAATAAAAGAACAATTTTTTTTTTTTTTTTGACAAATGTTTTTTTCTTGAGGAAGGCTTGAGAAATACTGATCTACAAAAATTATTTCACAAAGAATTCTCCCCCACCTTTTTCTTTTAAGAAGTGGACCTATTTACTTATGTAGTGTCAATAATTCCATGAAAATATTAACATTTCTAGAAATTCAATTTCTTTTATTAAGATTTTTTTTTCTTTGTTAGAAGAATAAATTGTTGGAAAAATTAAATGCTTTTAAAAATCTTAAAGCATTGAGTATTTTATATTTCTGAGATGAGGTATTGTAACTATTTGCGTTGTTGGGGCTATTGACCACATCTTTGTCATATTCTTGTTTCAGCTGTTGTATGTTCCAGCCTTGTTCACATGATATACATTGGAATCTTGAACCAAACCCTTTATTTTGTCCTCTAGGGTGGATTATTCTAGTTCCACATGTCATATCTTTTCTGGATATCTCCATTTCAGTTATCTCCCTTTAGTAACTCAACTTTCCAAGTTTTTGTTCATTTCTGCTGTGGCCAGGTATTGGACTCGCAACTCTTTGGGTCAAGTTACTGAATTACTTCAACCAACGCTTTTATCCACTAGGCCATATGTTCAGTTCGAAATTCTAATATATAACAAATGTTGGAGGCCAGAGCATACAACGGCTGAAACTTTATGAATATGACAATAAAGATGAGGATAACAGTCTGAACAATGTAAATAGTGCATTTAGTATTCTATTTATAATTAATATATAAATGAAGATCCCCCCCTTCATAAATATACAAAATGTTTTCAGATGAAAATGCTGACACTTGCTTAAGGGTTTTTTTTTTTTTTTTTTTTTTTTTTGTTTTGTTTTTTTTCCCCCTTTAAGCAGCCATCTTATTTACATTATTTCTTGTATGTTTCTTTTGATTCCCACAGTATTTTTAGTTTTGAATCAAGTTTTCTCTATAATCTCGAAAATAAGACCAATACATGTATTTTTAATATTGACTTCTGAATATATTGATAATTTACAAGGGTTTTTTTTTTTTTTTTTTTTTCGTATTAAATCTTTACGGGTTTCATTCATACCAAGCTGCAAAGTCTTTAGAAAGTCTTTAAAATATTAGTTTGTTTTAATTTGCAGAGGCGGCTTGGCTGGGGTTGAACATTTTCAGAACTACTGGTAAGTCCAGGATTTATTAAGGTCTTTCCAGAAAAAAAAAAAAATCTATAAAAAAATATATAGGTTATTTTATTTTTTGTTTTAAACATAGTCATAAGCTTCTGCATATGTGAATGTGTTTAACCTTAAAATGTTTCTGATTCTGATTCTTTTCTGAAAGCATCATGACTTTTTAATTATTTCTCTGTGCATTTTTCTTTGACTTTTCTCTTTATTTTTTGTTTAACAAAATCTAACCTGAAACAGAAGAATTTTGAAATTTCAATTGGCGTTTTTGTCATTTAAGTTTTGAATACCATTGTATGAAGGGGTGCTGAAAAGTTACTAACCCAACTCACTTCCCAGAATCATTTTATCATTGTCATGGGAAAGTTGTTTTTTTTTTTTTTTTTTTTTTTTTTTTTTAATATCTACTGGACCATGTTGATGCCATTGCCAAATATAAATCCTGTTCTAGCAGAAAGACTCCAGTAGTCTATGATGCATACATTAGTTGATCAGTGTCTCTTTTTTTGAGATCCAAAATGTGGCACTGTCTGGAAGGTCTTCAATGGCATGAACTCCTGAAACTGTTAATCATGTTCATGACTTGACTTTGGTCAACTGGCAAATCATGTTCACAAGAATTGTTGAGACAAGCAATATCCTGGGATTGCATTGGATTTATAAACCATGAGCAGTCAGATATGTCAGCTAAGTGAGTGCCAAAATGTTTGATTGCCAACCAGAAATAATATCATGTGGACATCTCTAGGCTTTCTCCCCACCATCAATCTATAAATGGTTGAAACAACTGGTCACTGTTGTTGCAACTTAATTTACAACAGTCCTTGCAAAGATAGACAGCATGAGGCTTCTCCACAGTTGAATAATTTAAAGCTCCTAAGTCAACAGGAAAGGCTTATAGGTTGCTTTATTTATTTATTTTTTTCTTTAAAGACTATAAATTGGGTTTTATTATTTGAAGAAAAAAAAAAAATTAATAAAAGAAAAAAAAAAAATAACTCGATGAAGAATGAATGCATGTAATTTTTTTACTAACCTTTTTATAAAGAATTTTTAAATAAATGCCAAAAATTTAATTTTCATATAGTTGAATTTTTATTAATAGTTTAAATTTAGGTACCTCCACTGAATTTTCAATACCTATGATTTAAAATGAATTTTTAAAAATGAAAAAGCTTTCATGAAGATTTAATTTTAGCTTTAATTGAAGGCTAAATGATTAAATATACTATTTCCAGTAAATAAAATATTCTGGTTTATTTCAAATAGAAATTATATAAATCAGAATCTCAACTTTTTGGCCGATTTCGGAAAATCTTCTTACAAGCTGCCATTTTCTTAATTTTAAGAAATTTGTAAACAAAACAATTATCAGTTTTAAAAATCTTCCAAAAATAAAATATATATTTGTGATACATTATTTGAGTAAAATTAGCAAATTTAAAGTTAAATTAATCTGATTTGAAATAAATATTATAGCATAAAAAAAGTAATATGCAAGCATTTCTTAACGATGGGTTCCTGTTTGATCTATATTGATGTATCAATAAGCTCTGAGGTTACCTAGTAATTTTTACAAATTAACATTTTCAGCGATTATTTAATATTTTATTGACTTTTAGTTAGCTTTTACGAAATTTGGGTTTTGTCTCTGGGTTTTTGTTTACTAACATAAATAAAAAAATTACTTAATTGAAGTATGACCCAAAGTAAAATAAATACATAAAATAAAAATATTTAGTGAAATAGTAATTAAAAAAAGTAAAACTTGCAATTTTGAAGGGATGATTTGCAAATATGTTAATGATGAAACAGGAGTGAATAATGAAATTGAAATCAATTGAGCTTTTAAAGGATTTTAAAAGCTGGCTTACCATAATAAGAAAAATTGGGAATATCTATACATCTAAATTGCCAACTGTGCACATTGTAAAATTGAGCTCATTTTGAAATGGAACAAAGTCATAAAAAGCTAAAAGTAATTTTCATATCAAATCTTTTTAGGATCTTTCTTTTCAATTATATAAATATTGCAATTTGGCAATTTAAATAGGTACCTCCACTTGCATCCTCTTCAGTCACATTTTTCCAATATTCTTGAACTATATCTAAAACAACTGAATCTGTTAGAAGAATTTAAACATCCTTGATACATTAAAGTCTTTTTGCTGTTGCTAAAGAAAAGAATATTTAATTAAACAGGCTGAGAAATTCTGCTGGAATTTGTAAATCACTTATCCTGTATATTATGTTGAAATTTCACAAGTTTCTATTTGACTTTATCATCAGAACAAGTTTTAATTCAACTGATTTACCATACATACTCATGTCTCAATGCCCTCTTTTAAAATTAGTTGTTAATTCATGTTTAGACTATTGTATTTACCAAATAAGTTACCACCACCACAAAAAAAAAAAAAAAAGACATCACAATTCCAGTTCAATCTAAAAACTGACATCTCCCATTAGAAAAACAAGTTTTTGGTGGTAGCTATTATATATATATATATATATATATATATATAATAGCTGGCCACTCATATTCTAGGATACCCATCTACTAGGGCAGCTAGCCAGTCTCCCTGATGCAGACACTTGCTCAGGCACATGTGTTTGTTCAACACCCACAGAGCCAACCTGTGGTTTATACAACTATGCTGAGCAGACTTTAGTTACAGTTTCTGGGAGAGAGTGTATTATCTAGAATGATCAACAATCTGAACAACACCAGCACACTCAAACCCTTGGTCACTATGACTTGTGCCTTCTTACTAGCACAGCTATCAATGGCCCCAAGTGCTGTCTACCCAATTTCACTCACAAAGCTTGGATCAACCCGTGGTATGCTTGTCAGGCACTTTCCAAAAGTGCTGCACACTGGGATTGTCCTCTCGCCAGACCAATAACATCAGGAAGTCTCCTGACAAATCAACCATGTTGTGTGTGTGTGTGTGTGTGTGTGTGTATATACACACACACACACACACACACACACAAAAAAAATATAGTTTCTGGTTACTGCTAACATTTGTCTTAATCAGAAGGGTCTGACTAACAATACAAAATAATATTTAATCTTAAACACTGATGTTTGTTGGGTTTTTGTTTTTTTTTGTAAATTTTTTTTTCACGATGTTCAATTGCATAAGTGTATTTTTTTGTGGTTTCTCTTTGGGCTAAAATTTGCCCTAAATCTAATTAACATGATTCTGTATCACCCCCCCCCCCATCATTTACTTTTTCACTTTTTTTTTTTTTTCTTCTTCTTCTTCTTCTTCTTCTGTTCCTGTTGCATCTTGGCATGAGTCTAAGAATCCCTTCTTCCTATTTTCCCTTCTTCCCTTTTCAATATTTTTATTTGTTCCAAGTAAAAATCTTCTGAGTGGAAAAAAAACAAAAAAAATATTTTGATGTTTGGCTTTTTTGAAAAATTCTTGGCTTTGAGCTATTTTCCAAAACCTGACTAAACAATTTTTTTTTCTTTCAACAACATCCTCTCATTAACATAACAATTTTCATTCTAAACCATTTACATTTTTCAATAAATTACAATCCCACATGCATTAAATGTCAACACAATTTTGATTCCTTTTGTTGAAATTGTTTATCAATGAATTTTTAAAAATTATTAGTTTGTTATTAGATGATGTCTGCACTTGAATAAGGAAAGCATGAAAATGAAATTTAGTTTGCATGTTTTTCTTAATGCACATGTTAACATGAATTTTTATTTATAGCTTCTGTAATTAACATTTTGTAAAGGCATTTTTGACATTGAATCCTTGCCTCCACAAAAAGTTTTCTAGGTTTATAATCTCCAATAAAGATTTCTGTTGTACTTTGAAGAAAACAAATCTGATATAACTCGTTAATTTAAATAATTGAATGTGAAGCTATGAAATTAATTCTTGAACCTGAATGGTTTAAATAATAATGGATTTACAGTTTGGTTGGATGTAAGTTTCACTTGGAAACAAACTTTTTGACTGACTTTAAATTTCTCATCTTACATTGTCATGATTTCACAAAATAGACTTTTTAAAAAAAAAATCTGTTAAGAAATGAAGATCAATGAATGAGACTTTTCTAAATTGACTTTAGAACCCAAATTTTTACCCCCCTTAAATTGGCCTGGTTGCCATGTTTATTTGAACCAAATTGCTTTTGATTCTCTAGTCTCAATTTATTATCGATAAATTTGATTCATTCTTTGTTACAATTCTGTTTAATCTGTTTGAATCCTCTCTCCCCCCTCTTTCTCTTCTTCTCTCCCCTCTTTCTTTCTTTCTTCTCTCCCCCTCTCTTTCTCTTCTTCTCTCCCCTCTCTTTCTCTTCTTCTCTCCCCCCCTCTCTTTCTCTTCTTCTCTCCCCTCTCTTTCTCTTCTTCTCTCCCCCCTCTTTCTCTTCTTCTCTCCCCCTCTCTTTCTCTTCTTCTCTCCCCCTCTCTTTCTCTTCTTCTCCCCCCTCTCTTTCTCTTCTTCTCTCCCCTCTCTTTCTCTTCTCTCCCCTCTCTTTCTCTTCTCTCCCCTCTCTTTCTCTTCTCTCTCTCCCCCCTCTCTTTCTCTTCTTCTCCCCCCTCTCTTTCTCTTCTTCTCTCCCCCTCTCTTTCTCTTCTTCTCTTCTTCTCTCCCCCTCTCTTTCTCTTCTTCTCTCCCCCTCTCTTCTCTCTCTTTCCTTCTTCTCTCCCCCTCTCTTTCTCTTCTTCTCTCCCCCTCTCTTACACTTGTGGTTTTCAATCTGTAGCATCAACATTGGCAATACGCTTAACATTGTCTCAATCTGGCCAAAACATTTCAACAAGCATTGTATTTTCATGTTCTTAAGAAGTGAGAAAGTATCAAAAGTAAAAAGATATTTCTATTAATAGAAAGAAGCCACAAATGATGTCATCTGATTTGATGACGTGTGGAATGCATGTATGTTCTCATGGCATGATAGAATATTCAGAAAACAGGCGCTCTTAATCTATAAACAAACATACTGTAAAATTAAATTTGAATAAGAGACATGCTTATTTTTTAGTCATTTTTATTCATCAAAGCAAAAATTGTCTTCAAATATTGGCATTTTGAATTTTTACCTTCAGTTCTAAAGAGAAAAACTCTTAAAGAAATTGTTAGATTCGTTAAAAAATTGTTTAAATGGTAAACTTAGCATCTGTATTTTCTCTTACTTATTTATTTTTCTTTTAAATATCTGAATCACAGGCTTGGATTCCTTCTCTGATCTTTAATAACAAAATATGCTTTATTAGAACTTTTCATTTTACTGAACAACTGCCTGTCATGGAAACAGTTAGCTAGCCAGCCAGCCAAACTGCTGGCAAATATTAAATAAAACTTTTCTGCTTAATTAAAATTTAACCTAATTTTTTGAGAATATAACTTCTAATGTAATGTCTTTTAGCATTTCTCCAAAACGTCATTTAGTTTTGGATTTCTATTTGTTTCTATAAACATAAATGGTGAACAAGAGTAAAATTAGGCGGGGGGAAAAAAGTAGCTTTTTTTTATTTTATTTTTTTTTTTATTTTATTATTTTTTTTTTTTTTTTTTTTTTTTGCTACTTATCAATACAAAGTTTGTTTGCATAAGAATGATTTCTAGATGACTTGTTGTACATTTTAATCTTTATAAAACCAAGGTGGAAAAATAGGTTGAGCTTTTCTAAATAGAAGCTTGTCATTTTATCATCTCTTCTCTATTGTTTGAAAACTACAATAATGTTAATGAAATGTTAATCATTTTTTTCTCTACTTAAAGTGCTACTTATTGTCCCTCTCTACCTCCTACCCCCAAATAAACATTTATATTCATTTTAAGCAGTTTGCAAAGATTTCATAGGTTTTTTTTGGGGGGGGGGTTGTTTTTTTTAATCACTAGAAAACAGTTGGCAATCAAATGAAAAATGGATTTTTGTTTCTCTAGATGAAACAATCCACATATCATGTAATTATCAATCTGGTCTCACTACTTGAGTGAGTAATGAGCATAACTGTTATAGTGCCGTTCAAAACAAAGAAGCAAAGATCACATGACTATAACAGGAAATTTTAAAATAGAAAGATTAAATATAAATGACACAATCTTATTTTCATTTTCTAAAACATTACTTTTGAAAAAAATTAATGGCTGTCACTTATACAATTATATCATGTTTTTTTAATGAAAAGATTGATAATTATGATTTTACATGTAAAATAAATGTGTGATTGAAACAATCTAAAGCAATTAGTTATTATATTTTGCCAATGTTAAAAGCTAATTTGTTGTATTTTAGAAATAGAGTAGATTATAATTGCTTCCTGGCTTGTCAGTGAAATTGGTTTGAGGAAACTGTGGTCTAATGGTTCATTTGTGATTGCAAACTTTTTTTAAACAAAGTATTGATAATTGCCACCAAAACATTTTTTGCTTGTTCAAAACTTAAGTGTTTTATTTTTAAGTTTTTTTTTTTTTTTTTTTTTTTTTGGCAACCTGCTGATGTGTGTTGAAATCCTCACAGTATTTACTATTGTTGAAGTTATCACTAACATTTTTTGTTAAGACTTAGCAACTCTACATTTTGTTGAAATTTGAATAAGCTGATTTGTTTGGAAAAAATACTTTGTTAAAAACCCTACTGTGCTGTTTAATAATTTCTTTAATTTCATAAGACTTCATGATAAACGTTTTTAAAACAATTTTTTTTTTTTCTCCTTTTTAACAGTGAAAAATAAACTCTTAGGATTTCTTACTCTTGAGCATGCAATGTACAACTTTCTATGCGTAAATGTATCTTTCTAGTGCCAAATTCCAAAGTTTTTAAATTTTTGGCCTTGTGATTTGTTTATAATTCCTGCAATGGCATTTGTTAAATTCAAGTTTCTAAAATACATGAAAATTTTTTGATGTATACCAATGACTGCACATGTTATTTGCTGCTTTTCTGGTAAAACTTGACTGAAAAGTGAAATAGCTTCAGTTTTTTGATTGCCTGTAAATGTTTCTTTGGTCATCAGATTTTTTTTTTTTTTTTTTTTTTTTAATACTTTCTCAAATCTCATATGCTTTAATAATCTATATAAAATCAAATTGAAAATAAATGACCCTATTTCTTTTTTTCTCTTTAAAAATTCTTTGCTTTAACAGATTAAATATTTTCAAATTAAAAAAACTTAGTTGGAAGAACTTTGCAAAAATGTTATATTCCTTGCCATAAAATGTCACTAATTGTAAAAGATATTAGATGATGAGAATATGATTACCCTATTGCCACCAATAGGGCAGCTGTTTCTGCTGCAAGAGTCATTCTTCAAAAATGTCTCCTAAAGAAACCTCATATTTCAACAGATTACTTAGGATTGCATGAAAAAGTTTGTTGAAAAACTCACTTTTTAATCTATCAAAATTTTTTAATTGTTTAAAGTTGAAACTAAAAATCACTTAAAAATTCAAATTAATTTTTCAATTTCTGGCATAATTAAATGCAACTTATTTTTTTATTGAAATTTTTTTTTTTTTTTTTTCCTCAATTGTCATTTAACTTTCATCTCCTCAATACAGCATAAAATATTTTGTCTTTATCTTGGATTTATCTTATTTTAGCAAAATCAAACTCAAATGATTGTAGGTATGCAAACAGTTTATGGTTAATTAAAAATTTGAAATTTGCTTTTGAAATGTTCCTTGAAATTCATACAGGTATATGTTGCTCAACATCTATATTTTAAAAAACTGCCATTAGCTTTAATAGAAATTTTGGCTTGGAAATTTCTTGGTATCTCTTTGTAGACATTACAAAAAATGCTTTTTTTTGGGGGGGGAGGTTACCAGCATCAGTCCCCAAATTGAATGGAAGCAATCAGTGATGAAACCTATTCTCGTCACCCTTTTAACCCTTTGAGCTCTGACCACCACTTTACTAGTGGTCGAGAAAAAATGACTTAATGCCCAGCCACCGGTTGAACGGTGAGTAAACACTTGTAACTATTTTTATATCAACTGTGAAACATTACATAACAATTATTTGCAAATTTTGACTCAAAAGCTCAGGCAGAAGAAGGGTTAAAATAGTTCAAAGGGTTAAGATTTTTTTTTTTTAAATACTTTTTTGTATGCTTCCCATTTTACACATTTTAGAGCCATGTCCAAATTGAGTTTGTGGTGCTGTTCTGGGTGTGGCATCAGCATTGATGCTGCCTGTGATGGCAAACTTTTCCAAAACCACAATGGCCACTGACTTTTATTTTGATCTCTTGTTATTACTTTGTCTTTCCAGGCTTTCTCAGTTTGCATCATTTCATTTTCTGTTCTGCACATTGGGCTTCAGGGGTCGGGGGGGGAATGAATTGCGTGCACATTCCCAGCCCCCCTCCATGACTAGTCTTATACACAGGGATCAAATCTGCTTCACTTAGTTTTCAAACTTTAATTGTATTTTATCACGCAAAAACAGGTGTGCATACCCCACTCAACTGGGGAACTGTCACACAAGTTTTTCAGTGAGGAAGATATATATATATATATATATATATATATATATATATATATATAATATATATATATAACTGATTTAACAGCCATGTGAGGAAAAGTTTTGTGGATTTTGACAAGTAACCAAATGCCACACCCAGACGGAAACATTTAAGTTTTAAATTACCAACTTTACTTTTGTTGGTGTGGTCATCTCTTGAGGTGGTTCGATTAGTCTGCTGAGGCCTTAGTTTCAACAGAACGCAGCAGTGTGGTGACTGCTCTGCTAAGTATGACATTCCAGGCCTAAAGTGGTATATGAGCAGCCACACACTCCTTCATCTCACACTCAACAGGAGGGTTTAAAATAAAATGCTGACTACAAAATCCCACCTGTTGTGGATGTCAAATTGGATGGCCTGTTCACGGATGCTCACCTGCTAAAGGAGTAACTGCAGTAACCCTAAGCGACAATGACCACTATGGCAGTCTCCAGTAGAATGCCTTTAATAATACTGTGATGGCACCATTCATGGTTTCAGCTCTAAGCTGTTTTTCATGTAGTGGCATCATGGCACTGTTGCTCCAAATCTCAGTTCCTTTAATACTGGACAAGATAGCCATAGTTGACAGTAGGAAACAAACCTGTCTCACATCAGTCCAAACCCTGCTTATTGCTGTAGATGACTTAATGTTTAATCAATAAAATATTTCCTCTTCACATTTGATTTATTTTCATTCTTACTTGATAACTTATTTTCTATAAAGATAAAGCAACTAACAAGACTACAAAATATCAAAATTAATTCATCTCTAACTTTTATAATCTTTTTATATATCGATTTTAAAAAAAAAAAAAAAAAAAGATACATTTGGAATCTGATTACCATCAATATTTCCTGTTTAGTGTAAGATTTTGCTAATTTAACTTCTAAATCTAAGGATACTATTTATTATTGGATTAAAGACATTCATTTTTCTTTGCTTCTCCCAGAATGTAATTTTTTTTTCTATTTAGTTGTCACTATTTGTGAGTATTAGACAATTTTAATTGGTCTTCTATATCATCCTTATTATAATGCACAGAAAAGTTCTAGGCCCAACCAAGAATCCCTTCCCAGAAAAACAAAAATCTGGTATTTATTCTTTTTGGCAAGAGGCCTTTGTATTTTTATTATAACTATCCTTTTTGACTATTATTTTTTTTTTTTGTACAGGTTTCATTTGTTAGTAATATACATTTATGAGTTCTTTTGTTAGTATGTACATCTCCTA